GAAGCATGGCAACCCTGATGGAAAATATTTTTTGACCAAAGTTCTCCACAATACCTTTCATTTAATATCCATGTTGCGATGTTTTAGATAAATTATGTAGAATCGAAAATAAGTGGCAACCTTGCACTATTATCCTAAGGGATAAGATTTTGTATATAGGAAAAGCATTGTTTAAGGACCTTCCTTTGGTACCATAAATAGTACTATTTTACCTTTTTTAACAAAAAAAGTAAATAGATATGCGATTCAAAATAGGTGGCAATCCTATTGAAATATTTTTAAATTAGAGATCTTTAAAATACCTTCCATTTGATACCCATATTATGATGTTTTAATTTATTTGTAACTAATTTCGAATAAGTAGCAACCGAGAAGACTCGTAGGTAATGCCTATTCAGATAACCTTAAAATTCAAAACATTATCTGTGTACGAAATTTCATAAAAATCGTAAGAACCGTTTCCAAGAACCCAATGGATGTATATATATACACCAATTGCTCGTTTAATGTAATAAGATTTGATGCAGAATGAACTATAAGTATTTCTATTAAAAATTAACGAAAAAAATTGATTACGAAAAACATTGCAAATATCAAAAAAAAAAGCACTGTACGGAAATATATTCTGGTGAGTGTATGTATATGCATATACAGACTAGCTACCAAAGGGTGGCCGTCGTGGTCGATAAAACTCCGAGTATATTATCTGCCATAAAATGCTTTTCACAAAAACCCATTTTCTATTCAGGGGCGGCGCTTAATTGTAGGTTCCTCCATAAATTGGAGGAGAAGCTTGGCTAAACACTTGGGGCCTTTTTCACCATGGCTGGTTAACACTAATCCCCCCGTCAAACATCTGCATCAACTCGTTTATCGATTACATCGAATAACAGGCAGTCGACAACGTCGTTAACGTATTTAACGGGAAGTTAACGGGTCAATTCTGGCTAAGATAGTGGAAAGTTGTTTATAAGAAAACCGAAAGACATAAGGCAAGCTAGTTTGAAAAACTTACTAAAACGTTCCATTGCCAACTTGCATCGTTGGTTAATCAAGTCAACACAGTAACTCAAAATTGGTAAATTTGCACATTCATGCTTCTGGCATGAGGGTTACGATATATACAGTGGGGAACAGAAATGAGCATACGGTGATTTTTGTTAAATATTTGCAAGGTTTTTACCCATTATAATTCCGGTCACTTGCTTAAGTAAAGGACGCTTTCCCCTTATGAGTGCTTCGGATCTTTTCTTGCCGAAGCTGGGACAGATTTGTCGAGTCGTCACACACGTACGTTCTTCCGACCAACTTTTACTAGATAGCAGTATACCCGCATCGTGAGAAGAGTTGAGGTCAGACAGGATGGTTCCCTCCATCGCAAGCTCATCTGCTGTACTGTTATCCACAAAATGAAGGTAGTAGGCCAAAGTATATCGAAATATTTACTAGTGCCTAATATGACACCGAGAAGTCGTTCCCAAATAAATAAAAATTAAAATACTATAAAATATTTTATGTTTTACTAAATAAAAAATATAAATTTACTGTTCTTAAAGCCAAGACTACATACGAGGACTACAGCTAAATTACGTGTTGCTAAAAAGTTTTCAATGGACCTGTATTTATAATTTAAATAAATAAATTAAAAAATAATAAAACAAATGCCAAATTTTTATTTTATTCTCCTTTAATACGCTACTCATTCAGCAATTCCACAAATAATAGTCGACACTTTTAATTCGGAAATTTATAACATTGTCGAAAGAAAAATTATGCCCGAAAGTGTACAGCTGCTAAATTTATTATTGCAGCAAAAAAAATAAATAAATAAAACGCTGCATCACCATGCCTGCTCAACAACAACAAGACGGTCCCGCCGCCACCCCGCGCTATGTCTTTGCCAACGCAATCATCGCTAATTTAAATTAGAATTTTTGCGCGCGTTACCTCAATTATTGGTCAATTGCCAAAATCTATCGTAGTCGCAGTCTATTTTTAAGCGATATATTCATTCTAAATGAAAAATCACTTTCGAAATACATACGTTTACACAGCTTTAAAGCGAACAAGCATACACACACATGCATACGTACAACAAATAGTATCTATCTATGCCTGCAAATATTGATGCCATTTCTCTTAGTCGCCCTCCTCCATTCATAGCGGGTAGCAAAAGAAGCAAACAAAGTATGTATGGTGTATCGAGCACATTTAGAAAGTAAGAATTTTTGGAGCATTTTCGACTGGACTCATAAACCAAGGCCTTACGCGTTCCGAGCAGTGTATGCGGTACACACCCACGCATAGCGTCTCATTAGTAAATACACAGCAAACGCGCGATCGGGAGGCCGAGTGGTCAGTTTTGGTGCCACTTTTTTGCGATTTCTGTGCCACTGTGGCCGGCCACCGTACGCCGCTCTGCCCTGCTTTGTGCTGCTCGCATTGAAATTACCAAAGCTAACCATTTGTAGATTTTCGTGTAATTTCGCATTCATTCTGCATTTTGATTCGCATTCGCATTCGCACATTCGTTCTTCGGATCTGTCGTTCCATTCGTCTTTCTCCAAATGTGCTTTTCGAGCTGCTTTCACATGATTTTCTATGAATATTGCCTCCAATAATTTGATCATAGAGAATTATATATTTATTCTGAATTTAGAATTAATTTATTGAAAATTAAATTTCGGTTATATGCATACATACATATACATATGTACATATATATATAAGTGCCACCTTCATCCACCGTTAAATCACTACACAAAGAGCGAAATTTGTTTATTAACCTTCACCTTATTTGGAATCGACTTCAGCCATCCAATTAGAGAGAAAATACATACATACATACATTTATGTAAAGCACCTATACCACACATGTACATGTATACACAGTTGCATTTATACATACACATGTAATAACGCTGTGCGTTGGAAAATTTTTAAAAATAGCATTATTTATATAATGAAGACTTTGAAGATCATTCAGATTTAGTTTTTGATCTTTAGTGTCGATTTTTGTTTTTTTTTCAAAAGTTGAAGGACGAATTTATATTAGCTTGTGTGTGTTTGTTGTTTACAAAATTTTGTAAGATGCTAAAAATGAGTTGGCGTTAGAAGACTAGCTGCCTATTCATCATCATGGTCAACATTTATTAAAACCGAAAATCTATTTCAATCTAAACGAAGAAAATATTTGCAGAAAAAAATTTAAATAAAGATTTATAAATAAAAAATTAATGATTCTCATAAGAAGTCATTCCTATTATATTCTTCAAAAACACACAAAGCAGAGCTCTCTCTCGACGAAGAATTCTATATTGCGCAGAAACGTGAACGATGTCGAACCAATATGAGAAGGCTTTGGGTGCTTTCGAGAGAACTATTCTACGCAAGATCTACACCCGTGCTCGCATGGACGACAGCTGTCGGAGAAGATGGAATGACGAACTGTATGAGCTAGCGAAATAGACAAGCGTTTAACGCATACAAATACAGCGATTGCGCTAGTCTGGACATGTGAAAGGATCCATCCATGAGTGGACAACGTAAGCAAGGGCGCCCACGGTCACAATGGAAGGACCAAGTGCAGAAAGACCTGTTTGCACTCGGGATATGGAGCTGGCGCAAATTCGCACAGGAGATAGGCAATTAAAAGTCCCGTTGAGCAACGCCAGTGCTATTGTCTTATTACTCTCTTCTCATTCCTAAGCTCTGCACTGAATCAAAAATCCATCTCTGGATCAAAGAAAAACTTTCCTTACTTTAAGGTCGAAAATTCTTCCGAATGAGTAAAAAAAATCTCCCGAATGCGTAATTTTTCTTTGGAATGTGTAAAAACGTACACGAAAATATGGGACCGTGGATGTAATCTATCATTTTGAAGACATGTTTGGCATAAAAAGAGGATAAAACTTCTTTAGTGCTGTTTCGTTCTCATTTTTCTTCATATTGATTGCTGTTTTTCTTCAATTAAGAGAAGTTTTTTTTTTTTTGGGTGTGCTCTGATCGTGTTTGAATCCATTGCCACAGGCCCAATTGGGATTGTTTATCGGGCAATAGGAGCATCTTAGGCTTAAAAAAAAGCGCAGCTCTCGCCTTTGGTGGGGGTTTTGGCATGTCAAAGTCCTATCGGAATTCAGAAAAAATATGATTCATAATGCTCTAAAAAACAATCTGTCTGAAAGATGGCAATTTTTGGCCAATATCTTGGGCTCGCCCAAGCCCATCAAAGTTCAAGTGCTAGAAAAAAATTTTTTCTTAGCTCATCTACTTCGATTCTCTACAAAAAAAGGTCCAAATACCAAATTATGTAGGACTTATGTATACTTTCGAAGCTACTTGCAATTTTAGAAAAAAAAAAATTTATTAACTAATGTATTTATCAATTTTTATTGTTGCGCACATTGAACTTTGATGGTCTTGGGCGAGCCCAAGATATTGGCTAAAAATAGTCATCTTACACACATATTGTTTTTAGAGGAATTAGCAGATTAATGCACAAACGAAAAACATTTTCTGATTTTGCACCTGACGTAGTTGCTGCTGAGAGCACTGGCGCCCTTCTGTTGCGGGCCCAGTCAGCAGTGCTTCTTTTGCTGACCGTTAAATCCGCCACTGAATTTTTGTTTTCGACATGGGCCTACAACTCGTTGTAACTAAGTGGGCTTACTCAAGCCCATACTGACGACCGACAACAGTTAATATATATATATATATATAATATATATAATATATATAAAACTGATTAATCACAAATACATAGTTCATTTTCACTTGACGCACGTAGTCCAACAGAACACGTCACTTCACCCACTCCACATCAATTTTTGCGGCGATCTTTCTTTAGTTTCCCTGTTTTCTCTATTTTTAAATAATTAGTATTTTATGGAAAACGCATTTTTGTCAGTCGGCGTCTATTCTAAATTCCTTCCACGCTTTCAAAAAAATAAAAATAAAACTAAAACATATCCACAGATATGTGTGTGTGTGTGTGCGCTTACCTTATTGTGTGGCAGTACAATGAATGCTCCACCGCCAGCGGATTCCACAATGATGGCCAAGAATTTCGGATTCACCGCACAGAATGTGGAGTCCCAACTGCTTTTTGAGACGCGTATATTGTCGTAGCATTGCTCACGTTTCAGTGCCTGACCGTAGACGTGACGAAATTTTGAACTTCGTACAACGCGAAATGACATTTTTTTGGCCGCTGTTCGGTTACTGCTCCCCTACTGTTGCTGCTGCTATGAACTATAATAGTACTGTAAATGTATGTACTACAACTACTTTAGTTTGCTGTTGTAGTTGTTGTTTTGTTGTTAGTGTTATTTTACCGCTTTTACCTAGGTTTAATAATTTTTAATTTTTTTTTTTTATACAAAAACTGTTTTTATTTTTTATTTCTCTTAAGTCGCCTAATTCTTTTGCTATGAGTCGCTGAATTGCTGAGCTATTATTTTTTTTTTTTAACTTTCGTATTGTTGTTGTTCTTTTTTCTAACGGAAATGTTTAACTTTCGTATCGGTGTTAGTCAGTCGTCGGCGTAGTTGCTAACTTGGCTTATTTATTGATGAATTCCTGATTGTTGACGGTTGACGATTGATGTTACTCGATTTTTGTTAGTTTCGTATTTTTTATTGTTGCTATACTTGCTGTTATTTATTGTGTATTTTTGTTATTTGATCTATTGTTGACTTTGTTGGTTTGTTTACAATTGTTGTTGCAATTCGTTACTAGTAGAGTAGTAGCCAACACACAATTTCTTCCTTCGTTCGTACACACTTTTCAACGCATTGAATCTGCCAATTAGAATGAAATGTACAAAGTACTATGTAAATACGGTGGATAATGAAAAGAGTAAACAAATTTTGTATAAACATGAAATATAATACCTAATATATATCATTTTCGATTTCGATTCTCGTTCAGAGGAATTAAAATGTTTTTAAAAGTGCATTTTCATATTACGTTCGTTATTATTTATAATTAAATACTTATTAAAAATTTTTGGAAATTTCTGAAAATGTATTTTTATTTGATTTGTACATTTATTGGATTTATTTGTATTGTCAGGGATGATTCTAACACAAATTTATGTTCATACTTGTCCACTTAAATATTTGTTCTTTTTTCATTTGCAATGTGCATGAAATTTTATTGAGAATATTCAGTGTCAACGCGTACTGTAGTATTTATGTATATACATATGTATGTATATATGTATGTATAAATGCAAATATTTGAAACCGCAAATTTGTAAATTATACAACGTAAACGATACACGTGAAGGTGTTTTAAAATCATAACCTACGACAATTTTTCCGCAACGATTGTTGCAGCAAGAAAAAAAGCATATGTATGTACAGTGGCGGTCAAAAATGAATAAATGGTGTTAAGTTTTTATATTTACAATATTTTTCAAAGCAATAATTTTTTGACATTTTTTTTTATAAAAATATGGCTCATACTTTAACAAAATTTTTTATCTAAATTTCGAGCTTTTTTTAACCAGAATTTTTAGACATTTTGGGGGTATGCAGTTAACAAGCTTATAAGATTCAAGTAAAATGAGTGCACGTTTTGAGCGGCTATAAAATCGCATTGATTTTTAATATATTTTTTTTTTGCTGACGGCTTTTGCGTTTTTTTTTTTTTATATACATATGTAAATAGCGAAATTTAGTAAAACTGGCGTTGACTTTTTTTATTTTTTCGCAAACGGTCTTGCGCATATTTTTCCACAAGAAATTCGTGTTTATATGGAAAAAGTGCAAAACGCTATAAAAAAAAAAAAAAAATAAAATTATTAAAAATTAATACGATTTTTGTTTTACTAGAATTTTATAAACTTGTTAAATGCATACCCAAAAAATTTCTAAAAATTCTGGTTAAAAAGCTCGAAATTTAGATAAAAGTTCATCCATTTTTGACCGCCACTGTCTAGATGCTAGCATGTGTGTGGGCACCTTTTTTTTAATATATGTAAATATGTAATTACGAAGTACCTACATTTATTATTTGAGCTATAAAACACCAAATAGGGCATTTTGAAATTTCTTCTTAAATACCAGTATCACTGCCTTGCTAATTTCAAGAGTTCGTCGCAGGGCTTTTAGGAAGCTAAGACTTCCGTGGTCTAGAATCTGCTAAAACTCCATGGCATCCCAGAACGCTTAAGAGGCGCCAACCATTGCGGTGGTAATGCATTGAAGTGTGGCGCGCACAGACAGCGCTACCGGAAGTGGTCGAACACCCCTGTCTGTATTGGATGAATACACATATACATAAATACAGACGTATCTACATATTCAAATTCCGCCAAATGATAGCCAGAAAAAAAATGTTGTCTTTTGGAATTAAAAAGACACAGTCCCACACGCAATTATTGCATAATCTTTTTTATTTTCAACAAAAATCCATTCAATCGGGCACACGCGCTGCTCATAAATTTCCTTTACATCGATTTTAGCAAACTTTCGATTGAATAGAGATGAACCAAAGTGTGGTTATTTAATTTCTATTTATATGCAGATTTTTAAAGGCATAATTTCATCATTTTCTCTCCTCAACGCTTTCAATATATATTTAAGCAGTAAAAATGAAATGAATATCTTTGACCTTCAACAAAAGCTGAAACAATGAAAAAAAGTAACAGTTGAAGTTGAATTTTGCATAAGCGAAAAAATATTGAAAATGTGTCACTTTTTTGCATATTACGATTACTTATGCAAACAAACAATAAATGTTTAATAAAATTT